TGCAAAAGGGAATGTGTACGTGAGATTCCACCCAAACCTTTCCAAAGCGGACCCCCTCTTAATAGTACGGCTCTCCTACGACTCAACTCCACCGAACCGAACCGTAGACAAACGCCATCTTCAATAATCTTCGAGGGGCATCAAACCGTCTTGTGTTTAGTCGTGATGAATCTGAAAAGCTCAATACACATGATTAGTCCGCAAAGGCATTGTCATCAATCACCAAAACTACTTAGGGACAAAAGTGCCCTTACACTCTTGATGACTTTAGCTACTATCAGATGGAGATTTCGGAGCCGACAGCTATCCCGTCCCTCACCACTCTAATCTTGGTGTTGGGCGAAAAGACGGCGTCCTCGGCAATCATCCAGAGGCAGTATCGATCGGCTTCAGTTAGCAGCAATAGCGAAGGAATCGCTCGATCGGGTTCAGTTAACAACCATCGATCGATCGCTCGGGTTCAGTAACGTGTAGCCTGCAGTGCAATCGCTCGGGTTCAGTAGGTGAACGCCTCGCTCGGGTTCACTTAGAGCCCAATGCCTCACACCCACGCGTGTGCGTGTACAAGAGAAACGCGCAAACCTCCGTGCATCGCTTGGCCCCGACCACCCACCGTAACTGGGAACACCCCGATATTTTCTTCGCCCTCGCTTCTATCATGGTTTTTTCCGTCATGGACGGCCCAAAGAATCTCATGCAGCTGTGTATCCGGCCCGCCCAGGATGAAAAGCCTATTTTCTGTCATGATTTTTTGTCATAGAAGTAGGATCCCACCACATCTATGATGATACCGGGTTTTGTCACAATTATCGTCATAGAAGTGTCATAAGTATGACAGAAATAATTTGCATTCGACCCAAAATGTCATGGATGTGTCTTTTTTTCTAGTGGCTTCATCCAACAATACCGCCGAATCAAAATAAGACATTGGTGGTAAGCAGCATGACGATCACCGCCCATAACTCTTTGTGTTCTACTCGTGCATATCATCTACGCATAGACCTGGCTCGGATGCCACTGTTAGGAACGTAGCATAAAATTTCAAAAATATTCCTACGCTCACGCAAGATCTATCTAGGAGATGCATAGCAACGAGAGGGGGAGAGTGTGTCTATGTACCCTTGTAGACCAAAAGCGGAAGCGTTTGACAACGAGGTTGATGTAGTTACACTTCTTCTCGTTCCGACCAATCAAGCACCGAACGTACGGCACCTCCGATTTCTGTACACGTTCGGCTCAATGACGTCCCTCAAACTCTTGATCCAGCAAAGTGTCAAGAAAGTGGATGAGTTCCTTCAACATGAGGGTGTGATGACGGTGATGGTGAAGTTATCCGCATAGGGCTTCGCCTAAGCACCGCGAGAATATGACCGAGAGTGTAATCTGTGGAGGGGGGTGCCGCACACGGCTAACAGATGTCGATGTTGTGTTCTAGGCACCTCCGTCCCTCATATATATAGGTGGGAGGGAGAGGGAGCAGCCCTAGGGGCGCCCCAAGTAGGAAGGATCCTACTTGGGCTCCTGCCCTAGGCTTGTGCCCCCTTTTTCCTTCTTTTGGC